AGCCAGCAAGGCGTGATTGCAGATGCCGTGCAGGTGGGTCCATCTCACCTGCAGCAGCATCGCAGACCACACCACGCCACAATCATAAAGCATTTTGTATTTAATTATAAACTTTGTCCTAATTATGTCCTGGGTTTTAACTATTTAATAATAAAAAAGGAAACATCACAAAAAACACTTAAGATCATGATGCATCCACCTTATTTATTGAAAGGTATTGGTATACTGGCCCGTATTTACTTGGTATTGGATCGATACCAAATAAGCAGTATCACACACCACTAGTATCGAAGAGAGAGCCCAGCCACCCTTTAGAGAAAGCTCATTTGTGCCACTTGTTTCTATGATCTTGCTCAGGTTTCTTTTCACCACGATGGACCGGTGTAGCATCTGCATTACTCCAGCTGCAACATCAATCCGTCATGACAGTGGGAAGGAAAAACTCCCTTTTAACAGGAAGCAATCCTCAGTAAAACCAAGGTCAAGGAGCAACAGCCATTTGCATTTGGTTGGGGTGAGAGGAGGAAGACACAAAAGTGAGTCTCGTGCTCCCCTCTCTCCTCACTCATGAAAATGACCCTGAGATAATTAAACCGCTCTACACAGGGTCAGGGACGAGTTGCTGTCCTAAGTGGGCATTCCACCTTTTTCCATCTGAGGACCATGACCTCAGACTTGGAGGTATTCATTCTCATTCCCACCACATTACACTTGGCTGCAAACTGCTCCAGTGTAAGCTGGAGTCCACCTGTCATGTATTTATGGAGCAGATCCAAAAGCAGACATGGGATAAATGAACTAAGGTATAACAAAAAGCAAGCCTTTATTGTAGCTGATTACATAAACAGAAAACACAGCAAAATGAGGAAAAAACTGAACTAAACCTACACTGGGAGCAGCTAAGCAAATAGGATAATTAGAACATGAAACTGAACAGGAACATGTGAAACGTGAATGTGAAGAAAACTAAACCTGACCTGCACATGAACATGAACTTGAACAATAGAAAACAAGACTCTGTGACCTGACCTGGCTTGGCATGACATAAACAGATGACCCGACAAAGAACAGAAGGAGACAGAGAACTTAAATACACAGGAGGCTAATGGGGAGACACACTTGACACAAATGAACATGATGCCACGGGGGAAGTAAAACAAAACACACTGAACATGGAAACACTAGACTCTTCAAAATAAAACAGAAAACATGGAGAGACGTAGAATTGACACACAAGCTTGACAATGTGGACACAACAAATGTCATGGTCCTGGGTCATTTTGACCCAGTGTTCTTAGTTTTCCTGTGGTTTTGTATTTTGTTCCTTATGTTCATTGGATTGTTTGGTTTGGTATTTGGGTTCCCCCTGTGTCTGTGCTTATATTGTGGTGTTTGTTCTGGTACCGTGTTCCCATCCTTTGTGTTCTGTGTTCTCCTCATCTCCTCGTGTATTCATCCTTGTTCTCTGCCTCTCTCTCTGCCTCTCTCTGTGCTCCTCTCTTTGTACTCTGTGTTGTGTTTAAGGTCCACATCTTGGTGTCAGTATTTTCAGTTTCGTGTCCTCCCCGCTCGGTCATGAGTAATTGTCCTCAGCTATGTTCCCCGTGTGCTCCCTCATTACCTTCTGTGTATTTATGTCAGAGTATCCCTTTGTTCCGTGTTGCGTCGTCCCTCTAAGTTGTGTGCATTCCCTCGTGTCTTCCCAGTGCCTCAGCTTTAGTTTCTCCCAGTATAGTTTTGTATGACTTCTTATGTTCCTATTAATAAAGACCTGCCTTTCGAGCTTATCCCCGCGTGTCTTGAGCCGTGCATTTGGGTCCTCTGTTGCCTTCACAAGGCTGCCGCATGACAGAATGATGCAACCACGAAATGGACCCAGCAGGCTCCGCCTGTGAGGAAGAAATTCTCAGTGTACAGAGTCTGGTGAGGCGAATAACCCACACCTCGGACTCATGGACAATTTCTGTCGGACTTAATGCCATAAGGGCAATAGTCGAGGGAAACCCTTTCCTTCGCCAGCTCACCTGCTATGAGGGCTTTATTGATGAACTGAGCAGAGCCAAGGAGGCGTCACAAGCTCGTGAGCTGGCAGACCGCGTCTTTTCCCAGGATTCCACGCCACAGCGACAGCAGACGGAGATCTCCGCCCGGCAGCTGCCGCAGCAGCAGCGAACAAAGCTCGCCGCGACAGTATCGCAGCAGCAGACGGGGCTTTCAGTAGCGCAACAGCAGCTGCTACAACGAGAGAGTTTTTCGACGCCGCTGCCGCGGAGCCCTTCTCCATCCCCTCTCAGCTCTGACCATCACTCTCCCGTTGCTTTCCTAGCAGGGATGTGATCGGAGGGTGAAGAGGAGACCATCATCACCAGTTTTCCCCATCAGCTCCGTTACCTCATCAAGGAGGAGACGCCGTCCACGCCGTCGCCGATCCTCTCTGGGACTTCTGAGCAGCCGGCTGGGGTGACTGACAAAGACACTCTTTCAGTTAACTCTGAGGCTAGTTCCCATTACTCTGAATGCAGTAATATTAATGCAGTAATAAGTAACTCTGTGACTCTTGCCTCAGGCCCTAAAGGCTCACAATCTGTAAATGTTGAATCTGAACTTGAACTTCTTATGAACTGTTGTATTGCCCAGAGGGTCAACTCAGAGACCGTTTCTCCTACGTTTGGACTCATATTTGAGAAAGATTATCCTTCGCTTGTGTTTCCTACATCTGAAAACTTGAAGTCAGCATTTTCTGAGTTAGAGATACCTGTTTTTGTGCCTTTTACCTGTGTTTCAGTGCAGTCCCCTGTAGCACTTCAGTTCCCTGGTCAGCTACATACTCACCCACCTAGTTCAATTCAATTCAATTCAATTCAATTTTATTTATATAGTGCCAAATCACAACAAAAGTCGCCTCAAGGCGCTTCATAGATACAGAGAAAAGCCCAACAATCATATGACCCCCTATGAGCAAGCACTTTG